CGGGACAGTCGTCCTAGCCACAGTGGGGCTAGAGGGCGAATCACTAAGGCCATTGGTGTCCCGGGCCGCGCCCTCTGCCACGCCTCAGAAACGAAACTGTGGGTGGCCACAGACCCAGGATCCTGAGAAATGAAAGCAAAGGCAGCGGCCGGCGGGACCTCGGGTGTGGCCGCGCTACTTCCCGCCTGGGTTTCTCCGCCTCCCACCACAGCCCAGCATTTAACCGCCGCCGGCGGTTAGGAAATTCTCCCGGACCTGGAACTCTGGTGCGTTGCTATCGCCGCTCTGGTCCCCTGGCAACGCCTGCCCTAGAGAATTCCAGCCTCTCCTGAGACATCGGCTTTGTCTAGCTTGGTTCTGTGAAGGCAGGTGCATCTAGCCCGAATTTCAAACTTCTTCCAGGCTACTTATTCCTGACTTGTGAGAAATAGGGGACCTGGAGACTGAGGTGCAAAGGGATGTCCTCACAGAGAAAACACCACACACACACACACACACACACACACACACACACACAGAGAGAGAGAGAGAGAGAGAGAGAGAGAGAGAGAGAGAGAGAGAGAGAGAGAGCTTCTTTGTGGCCCACCTATGCACAGGCACCTCACTTCGGAGGCCTCCAGGTGCCTAGAGGTATCCTGACCTCAGTTTTCCACGTAATACCTTAAACTTAACCAGTCCTGCAACCAGTTTGGGCAGCTTTTCAGCTTTGCAAATGAAGGACTCCTCCACCAGTGTGCTCCTTACTCACATGGAATCTACTTGCAAACTGGGATGCATAACCAGGTTGTCACATGGAATAGGTGCCATTTAAAATCTGCACTCTCTCTCTCTCTCTCTCTCTCTCTCTCTCTCTCTCTCTCTCGTGTCTCGTGTGTGTGTGTGTGTGTGTGTGTGTGTGTGTGTGTGTGTGTGTGTACTTACGTACTAAGTTTTAGGAGTCTCAAGACCACCTTCACTTGCTGGTTCACAGTAAAGATGCATGTCTCATTGATGCTCCCAACTCAGGATTTATCCAAATACAAGGAGGGGTAAGAAGGCCAGAGTGAAAGAACCATCTGCAGAATTGGTAGAGCGAGAAGATGAAATGTGCGGCAGAGTATGGAGAGGGCTGTTCAAGAGTCACATCACCTCCAACGGTGAACTGTAGGGACCCATGTGAAATCAGACACATGACAGAGTATCAGAGTTGGAGGTTATAATTCCTGGAAGTAAATACTTTTGATGTCACACAAAGAAACAAATGAAAGTAACTATGTGCAAGAAATTTTGTTTTTTGGGGAAAAAGGTGCACCTAGACCTAACCCTGACTAGGAAGCACACCAAGAAGTTACTTGGAGTTGTTTTAATAAGGGTGATAACTGTGGCTTTTTCCCATTGGCTAGTGTCCAACCTTTCCAGATTAGCTACAAAAAAACAAAAACAAAAACAAAAATCAATCAATCAAACAAACAAAAACAGGGCAAAGGAAACAAAGAAAAGGGGGAAGGGGCCAGCCTTTCCAGGTCATCAAGTTGCAGAAATGCAGGGGACAAGGTTTTCATTTGTAAAAGTTGCATAAAGCAAAAAGATGAAACAATTTGAATTCTTTTGCATAAAAGTTTTACAAAATTGAGAGATTTGTAGAATGTTGACCATGGACAAGCTAGCTATCTTTGCTAGAAAGCAAAAAGTCAACAACAAAATTCTCACAAACTAATGCCTGTACCCATAACAAAATGCCAGGATCCTCTCAATAGAATGAGATGGAGATCAACTTTGACCTTTGACCTTTGACCTTTGTGTGTTATCACTGGAACAAGTTGGTAAGGGCTGTACACACACACACACACACACACACACAGAGAGAGAGAGAGAGAGAGAGAGAGAGAGAGAGAGAGACCCTTCAGAGGGACTGCTTGCCAAGGCTAGAACAGAAACTGCAGTTCTTGGTTTCTTTGGGCTCTTTTAGTGAATGGATAGGAGTCAAATTTTTGCATGCCAATTTAAGGTTCCAAGGAAAGCGAGCCTGGTGGCACCATCTGGTTTGGATTGAATAGTTGTGCCTGTAGCAATTTGCCCATAGGGGCACAGAGTTGAGAAACTAGAAACTGAGAAAATACTTCAAGAAGTCCCTTTGAATGGATGAGTAGATAGATTAATGAATTAACCAGTAGCAGGCTTGTATTCTAGGGAAGATCTATCGCCTTCAGCACTTAGAGAATTTGCTTTCGGTTTCCCAAGGCTGGAAAAGCAGACCTTTCTGTTTCCATTCACAACACTGGCCTATACTCAGCACTTCCTGGTGTCAGACCAAAGGAGAAAAAGATGAAATTATTCTATGCATTCACATATAAGAGAAAAAAAACAAGAAGGGTAAGTTCAAGGCATTGAAATGTAATAATATATTATAAAATGAAAAAGTGACTCAGGGTTTGAAGCCCTAGGTTAGCTATGCTTTAGCTAGTCAATTAATGTAGGAAATAAAGACGACAACAGAAATCAGAGTTGTGAGAACATATGACTGCCCAGAGCCACAGAATGTAAAGGACTCCTCACAGAAAGAACTCATCACATAATTACATGCTAATAAATTTGGTTGTCACTGTATAAATGGAGTCAGAAAATAAGTCAACAAAACAGACTCATGAAGAGTGATGATAGTAGAATCCAGATGCCAGATTAAGTGCAATAAAAGGGTTAAGAAGCTTAGAGCAGGAATGTAAATACCAAGTATCAGGAGAGGGGAGTGTCTCCTAGGTAACTCCAAGTCGGTGGGGGGGGGGGTTGGCAGCTGACAACAAGATAAAGCATGGAGAAGCTGTGCTTTGATCACTATGACAGTTTGATCATGTGACAATTCAGTGACAGATTTCCTAAAGACTATGATGTTTGCAACTCAGTAAACAGATTCCACAGCACAGCAAAGCAGTACAGCCCCTGCTGGAGTGCTATCCCCTCCAGAGTGCATGGAACATGTTAGGAATCACAGGTACTCAGGGGCAAGATCCCTAGCTAAGGAAAAATGCTGGTGGCCTTTGGCTGGTGTCAAAATGTGTTTGAATTGTTTCCCGTATGAGATGCCCAAGGAGAAAAGAGCAAACAGGGGCCTCTATGATGTCAGCCAAGACCCACAGCCACATTCAGCTGTTTGCAGATCCCCTCACCCACCATGGCTTTTGTAAGCCATGACCAGGAATGGACCTCAGTCCCTGAAGGTTGCTGTTCCCCTCCTGGGAAAGTACAGCAGTCATACAGCAGCTTTTGCTAGAATATAGAGGAGGAAAACAGTGAAAGGAGGGTTTGAGAAGAGTCCTGAAAATATCTAGAATCAAGTTATCACGGTCGGGACCAGCCTTCAAGCCATTGTGAACAGCAAGACTGTCAATTAGGCCAAAGGTCAATTTTACAAGTTTTAGATGTCTCCACATTGAGTTTATTGGTCAGTACAAATGACTGTCTTGTAACAAATGCTACATGAGTTCTAGAGGAAGTCTGGGGCTGTGGAGAGGGCCCTGGGGATAAAGAGCACTTGCCAAAAAAGTATGAAGATGTGAGTTTGGAACCTATGTAAGGCCAAGTAGGGTGGAGTGTGTGTGTGTGTGTGTGTGTGTGTGTGTGTATCTGTGAGTGTGTATGTGTGTATACACATACACATCTGTATTGTGCATCTGTGTGTGTCTCTGTGTGTGTGATCCCATGTGTCTTTGTGTGTCTGTGTGTGTGCACACATATCTGTGTCTTCATGTGATCCCAGTGTTCCTAAAGGAGATGGGAAGCCAAGACCAGAGACCCTCTCAGAAATCTGTGGGCATATTAGCCTGAAGTAAACAGTGAAACAACAGGAGACCCTGTCTCAAACAAGGTAGAAGGCAGGGCTCAGCACCCAATGCTGTCCTCTAAACTACACACAACCACAGGAATTTCCCAAATTATGCAGAAACATAGTCTGCACTTCCTCAATCTCTACTCCTGCAATAACAGGAGTTCAAGCCTGCCCTCAGAAACAGGAAGGACTGACTAGTGGGCCCCTGACACCAGGGATTGTCACTTCTTCACTTGTATTAGTTACTGTTCCCTTTGCTGTGGTCAAATACCTGACCTGCATTAACTCAAGGGGAAAAGAATTCCTGTTGGCTCAGGGTGTGATAAGGGATGGTAGGGAAGTTGTGGAAGCAGGGGCATGATGGGGCTGTTCACATTGTGTCCACAGTCAGGAGGCAGAAAGAGATGCATGCTGGGGCTCCATTCTTCTTTCCACTGTTATTTAGTCTGAGTCTACAATTAGAGGATGGTGATGCTCACACTCAGATAGGCCATCCCATCCTACTATTGAAGTTCCTGGAAACATCTGAATATGCAAATGTTTCTATCATAAATCTAAACCTTGTCAAGATGACAGTGAAGATAGCTATCAGGTTTACATTTCACTCACACTTTTTGATATTTTTATTGACAAAACACAAGGAAATTTCAATCAATATGCATCAAAGAAGGAAGATGAAAAGATGAAAGCATGCGTGAATACCTGAATGAATGGATGAATGAATGAATGGAGTAGAAAAAACTGGCCTGCACAGAGAAGTCCTACCAGCAAAGATAGGTAATACTATCTTGGTAGTCAGTTATGAAGCAGTGTGGCCAGTGTTTAAACACCCATTGAGATCTTACTTCCTGAGCAAAGTAGTTGTCCTAAGTTGTAGCATGAATCACCATGCAAACTATGGCACAGTGCTAGGCTCATAAAGGAAGTAGACATTACTCATACTATCACTGTAATCACTGCCCTTAGTGCTTAACCTGCACCAAGCTCCTTGATATTGTGATGTCATGTGTGAGCTATGTACAACTATCTGTGTTGCCCAGATGTATCAGAAGATCAAGCAGAAAAATGGTCAGGCAGAAGAATGGCTAGGTATGGAGCTGAGGGGTGACCACCTGACAAAACACAACAAACAGATGTTCCCGTCATAATACTAAATCTAGTCAAGCTGACAGTGGACAACTATCACATTTGTATTTCATGCATAGTTGATGAAATTTTTTATATGACAACTTCACAAGGCAATCTCAGTCAGGATGCATTAAAGAAAAGGAAGACGGTGTGATGAAAGCATGCCCTAATACCTGAAAGAATGACACAAACAAAATAGATATCGAAATCTACCCTAAAGTGTGTGATTCCAACCCAGCTAGGATTGGTTTTTTCTATTCCACTGGAATAGTTTTCCCCAGCTGCTGATGTCATATGCATGTGCCCTCGCAGAAGAAATTTCTCAAGTTGTGCCAGAGATTACAGCACTTTTAATTCCTCGAGTTTCAAGGACTTGGATCAGATGACCCTGGCATAATCGGCTTCTTTAAACTACAGGGCTATGTTGCTGAGTTTGCTTTCAGTTTCCCAGTGTAGAAAAAAAAATCAGTTTCTGTTTCCATTCACAACAATGACTCAGTGCGTGCGGTGTGCTGTTCCTTCAGGAAAATTAGTATTTCCCCTTTTTTGCAAAGATCTCAGGAGATGTTTGCTGAGAAGAGAGTGAAGCTATCACCCAGACCCCAAGCACAGTACTTCAGCTATATCACCTAATCCCTGAGCACAGTACTTCAGTAGCATGACTCAGCCTTTGGGCACAGTACCACAGCAGCATCACCCAGACCCTGAGCATAGAACCACACCAAAGATTCAGCCAACAGACTTTTTCACTTTTCAAAGAACATATATAAACAGCATTCTCATAAAAAAAAAAGAGAGAGAGAGAAGTGGGTATCTAGAACAGTCCAATTCAGGAATCTGTTACATTTCCTAAGAAAATGTAAAAATGGAAATTGGAATGTGGCTCAAGTGTAAAGAATTTGTAGTGTAAGCATGAGGATCTGTGTTCATATCTCTAGCATCTATGTAAAACAGGCAGACATTGGAGTGCATACCTATAGTCCCAGCAATAAGGAGGGCAAAGGTAGGCAGGTCCCCCGGAGCTTGCTGTAAAGACAGCCTAGTTAAATCTGTTAGCAATCCTGAGGATCTGGCTGTCTCCACGTCCCCAGTGCTGGGATTCCTGGTGGGTGATTCCCCACACACCATTATTTATATAGGTTCTGGGACTCATACTCAGGCCTGCCCCTTCTGAGGTGTTACAGCATGGTCTTTCCCCCTGAGGGTAGAACATACCCACCTCACTGCCTTTTGGAACCAAAGATTTTCTTGTTCACTAATCAGGAAAACAGTGCAGTGGTATCCAAGTCTGTGGTAACAAAGTAGAGCCATTGACGTGGTGCCTTGGTAAAAAGAAGAGGGGAGTGTCACAAGACTGTCACCTGGTATATCAATGTGACTCCCTCCTGCTCTCACTAACTCAAGGGATCTTGGGAAATACTAGGATACATTAGAAGTTTGAGATTAGTTGAAAGGGGACCTGAATGATGCAGTTTCCATGAGTTCCTCATCCATGATGGGGTAGGACTTTGCCAAGGTGCATTTCTTTGCAAGTAGCCAATCCTCCATGCTCTATAAATCTAATAAACTCACTGGCTTACTAAATTGGACTTGGCTAGTATTGAACCTTGGTCCTTCATTGCTGTCCTATCTGAGATGAAAAAAAATCTGTCATTTTCATCGCCTCAGTAAATGTTAATGCAAGACAAGTCAAACCCTTTACCAACAGAGCGATCTTCCCAGCCCCTATGTTGTTTTCTTATCCATCAGTTTGTACATGGGACCTTGGATGTATCCACATCCTAGCCACAGTTAATGTGGGCTTATAGTCATCTCTCTGACAAACAGACTTCTTTTTTTTTAAGATTTTATTTATTTATTATGTATACAACATTCTGCTTCCATGTATATTTGCACACCAGAAGAGGGCACCAGATCTCATAACGGATGGTTGTGAGCCACCATGCGGTTTCTGGGAATTGAACTCAGGACCTCTAGAAGAGCAGTCAGTGCTCTTAACCTCTGAGCCATCTCTCCAGCCCAACAAACTGACTTCTTACCTGGAATAAATAACCAGTATTGGGCATCTGGACCCTAGGAAATGCTGGCTGCCACAACAAGTAAGCCTGAGTACTTCCTGAGAAGCATCATAGGAAGAAGATGCTGTTTTGTTATGCAAGTTTAACATCTTCAAATTCAAATTTGGAATGGTTAACTTTATATATATGCACAGGTATAAAAATTCATGTGTAGACTCAGTATGAAATGTGTCTGGAATTACTACCAGGGCTATAAATGTGGATGAATTGAATGTTGTTATCAGATTTGGGCCATGCCCCCCCACCATCATATGCTATGCAAAATTTCCCCAAATCTGACAAACAAACCATGAAATAAGAATTACACCCCACCTCCAGATGTTTGATAAGGGACGCTCAACCTACAGTCTCTATTTACAGGAGAAAGAAGATGTATTGGAGGCAAGGGAGGAAGAATTGGAAACAATATCGGGTATTAAGAAGGCAAAATGTCCCATTTGAAGAGGCTTTAAAAAGGGTAAACCTGGAAGAATTTCAAAGCCTAGTCATGGTTCTTAATGTGCCTCCACCAGCAACTGCGAACCGTGCTAACTTGCAGTCTTTAGCCATGGTACTGCCTTTTCCTTCTCAGGAGCAGAAGAGACAGTATGGAAAAGGCTCTCTCTACTTCTCCCAAACACTAGAAGAACTAGAAACAACACAAAGAAAACAACTCGAGGAACATGGAGCTCCCAGGGAAAGATGTCAGAGGGGAGTTAGAGCCATCAGAAGACTCCAGAGAATGAACTTGCCTGGAGAAAGGCACCAGCCACAGGCTGCACAATATGAGTGCTGGGATTTCCAAACTGTACCATGATGGCAAAGCCTTCAAAGAAAGAATTTAAAAAATATTTACAATGCATGTCCTCTGACAATATAAAAATAGAAATAACTAATTCCTAAGGAATTGGACTTTAAAATGGTTAACTTTACTTAGTGGAACTTCTCTGCCTTGAAATTTTTTTTCCCTTCATCTTTGAGAGAGCTGCCAGGTACTGCCAAGGTCAGCATACATGATTTGCTACAAAGTTATAAAACTCTAGGTTTTTGCTGGTTTTTTGTTTTCTTTGTTAGGCATAGGTGGGGTGGGTGGGGAAACAAAGAAGAATATTTAAAAATTATGAAGTATGCATAAATATTCGCTACAAGAGCGAATATAACCTGTGAGGAGGTAGCTATGTGTCTGTAAGAACCTTGTTTAGGAACTAGTGGTCGCTGGAATCTTTGCAGAGTCATCAGGACAGATGGTGTTTACACAGGTCATAGGGGCAGCCGTGAGCCACAGAAAGGCAGCAGTTGGCCTCCATCCTGAGCTCCAGTCTTGGCTCCGGATCAACTTTCGTTTTCCGTAAACAGAAACTCTGCTCAGCTGAGACTTACTCAAGGGAGGTGTTCCCTCTGCCTTGTGACAGAATGCACAGGGGGTGTGACTGGTCTGCAGCTTATAAACCCTTTCAGGCAGCTGCAGGTATGTGCAGATCATCATGGGGATGCTACTGCCCACTGCTCTCGCTGCTAGGCTGCTGAGCCTGTTCCAGCAGCAGCTGGGCTCCCTCTGGAGTGGCCTGGCCATCCTATTCTGCTGGCTGAGAATAGCACTGGGATGGGTAGGTTCTGGAAGGGGACAGTCTCAGCCACAGGTCCCAGCTGAGTCCAAGGAGACCCAGGAAGAACCAGACAGTTCTCAGCCCATGACACCTGTTAGCGTCAACTACCACTTCACTCGTCAGTGCAACTACAAATGTGGCTTCTGCTTCCACACAGCCAAGACATCCTTCGTGCTGCCCCTGGAAGAGGCCAAGCGAGGACTGTTTCTGCTCAAGCAGGCTGGTAAGTTCCTAGCCCAGGCAGAAACCAGGATGCTAATGACAGAGAACAGGGGCTGTACATAGGATGAGGGTGGGGAGGGCTCCATGAGAACAGACACAGCATCACTGGGCAGGCAACAGGCAGTCTTGCATGAATGGGCAAGGAACCTTGTGGAGACATGAAGAATCTCCAGTCCAGGAGATGGCCTGGTCAGGACCATGTAACAAACACTTGCTCCTGTGAACAGAGGTGTGTGGACAGTGGCCCCTGTTCCTCCTGGTGTCAAGAAAGTTGTGTCACTCAAAAAGTTTGCCCAGCAGAATCTGATTTCCAGAAATACTAAGGAAGGAAAGGGGAAGGGAAGACCAAAGTCCCCAGTGTGAACAGCCTGACAAAAATTTCACCCTGTTCCTTGTTGGAAACTTTTTTCTCCCTTAAAAAAGAATCTTTGTGTACACTGGGGGTTTGTGTGTGTGAGCATATGAGTGTGCATGTGTGCATGTGTGTATGCATATGTGTGTGTATGTGTGTGATGAGTGTGTGTGTGTGTGTGTGTGTGTGTGTGTGTGTGTGTGTGTGTGTGAATCTGGTCATCTGTTTGGCATAGCAAGCCTGTGAACATCAAAGGGTAATTCAAGTGTCAGTCTACTCTTAGCCTTCAACCTTGTTTGGGACAGGATTTCTCTCTGCTGGTGTGCAGTGTTGGTTAGCCTTCAAGCTTGTTTGGGACAGGGTTTCTCTCTGCTGATGTGCAGTGTTCATTAGCATTTGAGCCTCAAAGATTCTCCTCTCTGTTCCCATCTTGAAGTAGGGAGGCTGGCGTTACAAACTCTCACTGCCGTGTTCAGGTTTACTCAGGTATTGGGGACCCAAACAGAAGTTCTCATATTTGTACAGGTAGCAGATCACACACTGAGTCACCTCTCCAACCACAAATAAACCTTAAAATGGTTTGTTGATGGGCATGTCATGGGATTTTTCTACCAAGGTTAGCTGTCCCACTCCATCAATTATTCTCAGGTCTGAATTCAGCAGTTAAGTTCAAATGCAGCATCTTCTCCTCCAAGCCTGCCCTCCCTCCCTCCCTCCCTCCCTCCCTCTCCCTCCTTCCCTTCCTCCCTACCTACCTCCCTTCTCTCTTTTCTCTCTCCATCTTTCTCTCCCCTCTCCCCCTTTCTTCTCTTTCCAGAACACTGACTCACTTAGAGATTGCCTTCTCTTTCTACTTACTCTTTAACTGAAGCACAGTAGACGTGTCTAGGAGTCAAACATGCTAACTATACTTCCAGATGACTCTACCGAGAAGTCTCCCTGGAGCACAGCTGGGAAACAGAATTATTAGCCAGCACTCACTCCAGGTGCAAACCAGCCTCCAGCTACCACCACACTGACCCCATAGGGGCTCCCAACTGGATCTCTGATGCTCACAATAGACTCACCTAGTTCTGTGCTGTGATAACGAAATCATACGGGACACAGCACTGCACAGTAGGATCTGACTCACTCGGCTCCAATCTGCACTGGCTCATTACCCACAGTAAAGACCATGGTTACCTCACTGGGACCTAGGTTAAGGTTTGGTCTTTCCTCACCAGGAATTTTGTAAGGTAGCCACCATCTCTGTTTTCCTCACTGGTGTCTGCTTAAAATGCAGCTTTTGGAGTCACCTGCCCACTCATCTAAGACAGAACCAGACTCCGAGCCCCAACATCACTGCTGAGATGTGGAGTTGGTTTCCAACAACCTAGTTGGCAGATAGAAAGAGCAGAGTCACAAAATACCACAGTGGTTTTCCTCCTGCTTTAGGACAGTGAGTGGAACCCACAATTACTCATAGTGGCATTAATATTGGGAAACAGGATGGGGTAAAAGGAGAATAACGATTGGTTTCATTTCATTAATTTTACCATAAGGAAATGTTAATTTTTGTCTTTAAAATTTTTGTCTTTCTCTCTCTCTCTCTCTCTCTCTCTCTCTCTCTCTCTCTCTCCTCTCTTTCTCTCTCTCTCTCCACACACACACATATGCACACATATACTAAAAAACAAAGTGATAATATTTATTTTATGCATGTGTGTTTTGGTGTCCCTAGAGGCATAGGAACCCCTGGAGTGAATCCAAGGTGGGCACTGAGAACTGGACTCTGGTGAGCACTGGAACTGGACTCCAGTGGACACTGGAACTGGACTCTGGTGGGCACTGGAACTAGACTGACTCTGGTCCTCTGAAAGAGCAGTAGATGGTGGTCACTGCTGAGTTATCTTTCCAGTCTCAAAAAAAAAAAGTAAAGTAGGTATTTGGAAAATGTAAAACTATAGCTTTTGTCCCTTACAGGTATGGAGAAGATCAACTTTTCAGGAGGAGAACCCTTCCTGCAGGACAGGGGTGAATACGTGGGCAAGCTTGTAAAGTTCTGCAAGGAGGACCTGGCCCTGCCCTCCGTGAGCATCGTGAGCAATGGCAGCCTCATCCGTGAGAGGTGGTTCAAGGACTATGGTGAGTTTCCTGGGGTGGTACCTTGGTCACCGTGGCTCATACTGTTGACCCCCACATTTCCTCCCTTTCTGGGCTCCAGGCCACAGCATGTGGGAAACCGGGAGGAAAGAAAATCTAATTTAATCTTGTTTATTCTACTATCTCCTAAGCTGTGTGTGGTGTTGGGTTATTTTGTTTCTGCTGGATGCTAATAAGCAGGTATGGGGAAACAGATAACAGAACAAGTCAACATACAGATCATTGCTACGCCTTCTAATTTATCGCTAAGGTCTAAACTTAGCCATTACTGAGGAAAATCAACACAATCTATAGCTATATAAATGTCTCTGTTAGAGATGGGGCATGGTAGTGAACACCTTTAATGCCAGCACTCGGAAGGCAGAGACTGATCTCTGTGAGTATGAGGCTAGCCTGATCTATAATAGTGAGTCTAGCACAGCCAGGGCTATCTAGTCAGACTTATTTTTATATCTTTGTTAGGACTAAGCTGATTGCAAGTCCAGTTACATTAGAAGCTCATAGCACATGGACTGGCTAAATTTAGGGGCTGTTAAGATTTTCTGAGAACCACAATGATTGAGTTGTTCATGTTTGAGGTGTCTTCGGAGCAATACATGGCATGAGGCAGATTAAAACAAAACAAAACAAAACAACATGCAGTTATGACTACTTTCAATTTAGAAGACAGTTAAAACCTCCCTTTCTCTGCTCTTGCTCTGTGACTCTGTAGAGTTCTGAAGTCATTCAAAGGGAAGGCTGGCACTTTTGGTTGGAGACACTGACCAGATACATCCACCTGCAGGGAGAGTCTGTGCTTGTGGGTGAAGGCTGCCTATGAAGTTTGGGCAGGCAAGGAGGATTCTTAGAATCAGGGGCAGTGAGTCATGGAAGAATGTACTGGGGTCGTACATTAAACCAGACATCTGTGAATGGAGGCACTGGATGGAGACCTCTGGGAGGTACAAAGTGAGAGAGAAAGATGACAGAAGCAGTGTGAACAGAAAGCAGAGGACCATGTCTTGGAGGGTGTACCTGGGCAGCAGTTGTCCTTTACAATAGGCACAACATATCTGTCTCTGTGACAAGGATTGTGGACAGTACAATTACTGCAGTACAGTGTCAGAGATTGGCCACCCAGAAATAGTCATGTGACCCACCAGCATCATCGCCTAGAGAGGGGAACACACAGACTGCAAAGCCAAATACAAGGCTCTCTTCATAGTCAGGTAGCTACCAATTACAAATGTTAATTGGCTTTTATACTAGATGGAAACTTGTCTATCCTCAAATTATCTCGGGTGCATTAAACAATATTCTGTGTTAACTATACCAATTATAAATGTCTACAAATAACTTGAATTTGGACCTATGTGAATGGGCGTTAGGAGAAGCTGGTCAGAGTCCCCAAACCCCTCCAAGTTTGGGAGTTTGCTAGCAGGACTGTCAAGACTCTTTCAGTCTGGGCGTATATAGAGGAAGATAACAGTGGGGCCCAGGTGTGCACGACTGAGTCTAGATAGGACATCTATTTCTGAGCCCATCTCTAACTGAGCCCACATGGATTTTCTTTCTCTCTAGCAGTGAACATCAGGCAATGTTTGGGTTGTCTCCACACAGACGACTCACATCAGTATTGGATCAGAGGGAGTCATAGAATGCTGGTTACTCAGCAGGCGTACATAAGTGACCAGTCATATCCACCAGGATCCCAATAATACATGCAAGCACATCCTATATGTGTCTACACAATCCTGACACATGGCCCCATGCCTGAAGTTTGCACACATCACCCACTATTGTTATACATGCTAGAGTAGCAGCCATGTATGCAGGGGCTGCACAGTACCCTACCAGAGCCTTGCTCTTCTGGGAAAACACAAGCACTGAGCAAACAGACCTGCTCTATCAAATGATTCCTCCAAAGAGCTGTGACCAGGAGGAGGGGACATCACAGAGACATAGCTAAAGGAGGAAGGGACACCAAAGAGACACAGCTTAAAGGTGGAGAGGACATCACAGAGACACACCTGAAGGAGGAATGGACACTGCAGAGACATAGCTAAAGGAGGAGGGGACATCACAGAGACACAGCTGAAGGAGGAAGGGATACCGCAGAGACACAACTAAAGGGGGAGAGGTTTCAGGATGAAGCAATGGACTCATAGGTGCTCAGTGCCCTTGTCAATCAGTCAGCCATGGTGCTCCTGGTTTTTATGTGTTTGGTTTAAGCTTCTGTTTCCCCCTTGGTTTTGTTAGAGACTACGTGTATGGTTACCTCATCCTGGTGTGACATCCTTTTAGGAATTTACTTGAGGTCAAGTTTTGGAACACTTTGAGTTGTTTTAAATAACAGGAAATTTGTGTGTGTGTGTGTGTGTGTGTGTGTGTGTGTGTGCCTGTGCATGCATTATACCTAAAATAAGCCTTTCCACAATTATAGAGTAGTATCTGAAAGAAAGATTGGAACTCTTGGCTTCCACAGTGTGAAAAGAATTATAAGGCAAAATGGAGAAGTTTGGAAATTCTCAACAACCAGGAGAGCTCAAGCTTGGTCACCTGCAAGGAACATTTCAGCCCTAAGGATATTCACTCTTCTTAGGCAGGGGAGGGCAGGGAGCAGGCAAGGAAGAGGGTGTCCAAAGAAATACAGAGCAAACTTAAGCTACACCAACACCAAGATAAGTTTCAGTATTTTATAGGTCTTTAAATGACTCAATCTTATCCGAACTCTTAATGCATGGCCTTGCAGGGTGGGGCCTGTTTGTTCCGTGGTTCCTGTACCCAGCTCCCCTTTTATCTGGGTTTTTCTTAGCCCCTACATCACTTGTACCTGACATAGTACAGAGTGTCTGCAAATATTTACACAGTGAACAAAATGTAAAAGGCAGGTCAAGAGGAAGCTCATGAGCCTGGCAAAATTACCAGATATCCATGACACAATTCTGTCTGTGTGCTGGGCAAAGCAAGCCTATAACTGTTCATAGTTAATAGAAATAGACTTCATAATTTATATACTCTCTATGATGGAACCAGGGAAAACCCTTACTAAAATATGCTAATGTTTATTCATGCATATGCATATACACAGAATTTAAATTTGCTCACCTTAAGTAGCTCTGTGATTTCATTATGCACATATATATTTTAATGATAATATACACACCAAGTGTAATTCACATCTCTGACTTTCACCAGTTCAAGACCAGGAATCAGGAAATTCTTTAAAACATAGCTGGGAACATGATGCACTTTACTGTAAAGAGATGTAAATTAATGCGAGGGCTCAAGGAGCATATTATTACCATTATTATTATTATCATTTTCCTGCAGGTGACTATTTGGACATTCTTGCTATCTCCTGTGACAGCTTCAACGAGGAAGTCAATGTTCTCATTGGTCGAGGTCAAGGGAAAAAGAACCATGTGGAAAACCTCCAAAAGCTGAGGAAGTGGTGCAGAGACTACAAGGTGGCTTTCAAGATCAATTCTGTCATTAATCGCTTCAACGTGGATGAAGACATGAATGAACACATCAAGGCTCTGAACCCTGTCCGCTGGAAGGTAAAGCCACACTGGAGCATGTTTAACTTTAATCCCCAAAACACTCTGGGGTAGTTTGGTTCTGTGACACTGAAAACAAACAGGAACACTGGGAACTCTGGAACTTTCTGGCCAAGACCCTGACTCTTACCTCTATTAAGTTTACATCCTCACTGTTCTTTGTTTTGTGTCTGTTTCCAAAATCTTGAAAATGGTCCTTTTCAGGAATTTTCTGAGAGTAAATGTCGAGGTCGTGCTAGGTGCTTGGAGACACTTTGAAGAATAGATTATCAAGAAAACATTTCTTCCCATTCATGGCTTGTGTATGGATGGGGCTAGATACTCTTCATAAATTCCGATGCTCTTGAGTTTACACTGGGGGCAATGTCATCCTTTATTCCTAAATGCATTCCTTAGATCTGGCCAGATAGCAGCCACTAAAAGTCCCAGGCTGACAAGGATACAAGCCAGCCTATCAGAGATAGGACCCACTATACACAGGGGGAAATCCACTACAAATTCAAGTTTTCTACCCCTGGCTGCTCAGAACTCCCCAAAGTGGTTGCTTAGAAAGCAGCTTCTTGGATTTCTTCATATATCCACTGATGTCCCCTAAGGGCAGGCCTGGTTGGGAGGGTTGGTGTGTGCTTGTATTTTTAACAAGCCACATGGCTACCCTTGTGTAGTTCCTTTGAATCTGTGCCTGGAGACAGAGCAGACCCACCTGAGGATAAGATTGGGAATTGAGTTTTGGAAAGAACTAGAACTCAGAGGGTGCATGTTCCGTGACACTTGTGTGTGGAGAACTTGGGAAGGTGGGGCACACCAAGCTTAACCACAAAACATCATGGAACAAGTTGCATTTGGTTGTGTTTTGAAAGCAGGAAAGAATTTCCACATGTGGGGCTGACCTAGGCAAGAAGGTCTAAGCTAGGCCAGAGTCATGCTTACCCAAGAAAAACTGTCATCTCAAGGGCACTGTGAATCTCTTTAGATGCCAAATGAGCCAAGACAGTGGGGGATGAGGACAGGACATTTGTTTTCATTGTTGACTGTAATATGTTTGGGGATAGGTTAGGAGGAAGCTAAAAATATTAAATACTTTAAAGATTTTTTCATACACTAGATGTATTAAAATTGAATGTCAATGACATCTTCAGGCACAGAATAGATGGAAAACATCTCAAGAAAGATGAATGGTAGACAGAGTCATGACAAAGAGAGACAGAGACCTTCTTGAATAGAGGGACCCAGAGACACCCAAGACTTGTCCCTCTAGTCACCTTTCAGGATGCTCATCTTCTCTCTCTCTCTCTCTCTCTCTCTCTCTCTCTCTCTCTCTCTCACCTTGGTGCTACATTGACTCATGCTGCCCCTCACTAGTCTCCCTTCACCCTCTTATTCTTAAAATTCATTTATACATTTTCCCTCCTTGCTCTGGATCCTTCTCTTATGGCCTTTCCTTACATTCCTCTGGCTTCCTGGCAAGTCATTTCAAGATTCTGGCTCTCAGTGGTAAGGGTAAATTCCTGCATCTTCTTTGAAACCTCTGATATCTGTGGGCTCTTGACCGACATACGCAATGCTCCAAGGGGAAGCATCTGTACTTCATTAGCTCCATCACTCATGGCTCAGAACTTCACATTCAAAGACCTCATAGACTTAGCAGTGATTGGCAATTGTATTCCATGATTGCTAGTCCTGAACTGTGTAGGATCTGTTCCTTGCAGGCTTGGAGTGAATGGCAGTGTAAGGCTCTTTGTCTAACAGATGCTTTATCCTCTTCCAGGTCTTCCAGTGCCTCCTAATTGAGGGTGAAAACTCTGGAGAAGATGCCCTGAGGGAAGCAGAAAGATTTCTTATAAGCAATGAAGAATTTGAAGCATTCCTAGAACGTCACAAAGAGGTGTCCTGTTTGGTGCCCGAATCTAACCAGAAGGTTGTATGCAGTAGAAGCTGCCATGTTCACTACCTCATAGCTACACTGATGCAAAGTGGGGGATGGAGTGACTCTCTCCTGAGAGCTTTGCAATTTGCCATCTTGTTATTCTAGACATACTGGAAGGAGAAAGGGGTGGAGTGCTATCAATCTTAGAGTCAAAGAGATGGAGGTCCACTATGGCCACCTGTCATCTGGGGGTGGGGTTCTTCAACAACATTGATATTTTCTTGTACCCAAGAATGGGTTTGACAAGGCCACCACAGAGATGATGTGATTAGATGTATAATTGCATCGATGACTCTAATATAAAACACACACACACACACACACACACACACACACACACACACACACACACACGATCTCTGTGTGTTTGGGAAGCTTGTGAGTAGGGCTAACTGAATGTGTCCATGTTTGTGTCAGCTTCATTACAATGATCCCTTAAAACCTCTCTAGTGATTATTTTAAAAGTTGGATAAAACATAAAAGAAATGGTTTTCCAATTCTCAGGGTCTATATCCAAAATTGCCAAGGAGCAGGGTTGCACTCCACTCCTTTATGATTTTATGTGTGCCTTTTGTTGTTGTTGTTTGCTTGTTGTTGTTTGATAGTGATGCTGGAGGTGATTTTCACAGTGTGGTGCAGAGATGGTTTACTGGGGCACAGACTGTGTTCCCTGCATGGCAAGAAATATTAACTGGTCTAGAAATGTGTCTGACTTGGGAGACTGCCTACTGAGCATGTTGGAAGCTCTGGATTCAATCCCCAGCATAGCTAAAAAGTCATTGCAAGTTTATAACCCAACATTCAAGAGGTGCAGCAGGAAGGTTCAAAACTCAAGGACATCCTTGGCCATGTAGTGAGTTTGAGGTCAGCCTAGCCTACCCAATGCCCTATCAAGGAGGATGAGGAGTAGGGAGGAGGGGAGAAGGAAGGAGGGAAGAGGAAAGGAAGGGAAATGAGGAAAGAAGAAAGGAAACATGAGGGGGGAAGAAAATTAGTATTACTTACTGCCTAGCTCTTATTAGGGGGAAGAGTGTCACAACCTCCATGCAGAAAGTAACAGCAGTGCCCAGTGCACCCGAGAGTGCAAACCAGATACAAATTAGGAGCAACACCAGGAGCATCAGAAATGCTATCCTCTGCAGAGAGCCTGGCCTCAACATTGAAAACCTTGGAGATTCCTTGAAGGGTGGCCACTGGGGTGAGGGCTGAGAGATGAAGACAACAGCAGTCCTGGAAGCAGCTGGAGGGGTAGGAGAAGCCAGGCTGCTCAAAGCAGCCTGCGGGGTAAAATTCTTTTGGTCTGAGGCAGGAAAATCCAGAATGACTGGATGGACTGGATCCGGCAGACCCTCCACTGCTGAGGGCCACTCCAATGGCCTACAAATAGATGGGGAATACGGAAGCTGAAAATTCAGCACATACACTCGCGCGCGCGCGCGCGCGCGCGCGCGCACACACACACACACACACACACACACACCATAGGAGTGGCAGCCAGAGGGGAAAACAAAGTAAACAATGCATGTTGTATGAAAACAAAATTTTGATTCTGTTTCCTCTGCAGATGAAAGACTCCTACCTTATTCTGGATGAATATGTGAGTATTCCCATGGGCTATAAAATCAATGGAAAGCTAGCAGCTCAGAAATGCCAGAGTGTGCCCAAATGTGCTCATTCTGAACACATCTCAGTGCCCAGTGCCTCTCTGGTGGTTGTATTGTCAGCATGGTAGAGCCCTGGCTTCTTCACATGCCAAGTTCTCTATCAGCTCTATCCAGGACATTATCCTGGACCTGGATTGGTGTTAGCTACCAGGAGATGACATCCCAGGTAGCCATGTCTCTGCAGATGTCATAGGGATGTCACACTTAGTAGACCCCTTCACTGTGTGGTCTGGCAAGGGTTTGAGGATTGCACTGTGGCAGCACCCTGTCTCCTATACTCCACACTATCTTGGATAACCCAGGTGCTGCCAACACCTCCATTGTACATGAACCTTGACAATGGGAGGAAGTCTTATTGTTCCCTCCAGACACCATCAATATCATCTCTGAGGTCATTGCTTCCAAAGGAAAACCCACCCTTATTTTAAAAAGGAAAGAAATCATACTTGTTTTCCTTTTCTTTGTTGTTGTTATTTAGAACTTTGGATTTACAGCTTTGCTGATATTCCCAGTAGAGGACAGATGATTCCATTCCAGGCTGCATTTTTTTTAAAACAAACTATGAAAAGAACCAAGGGCTTGGTATTGAACTTGGCATTTTGAGAAATACTGAGAAGTATTTGTTATAACTTTTGTGTTTTATCATTTTCAAGTTGATCTATGATAAATTGCAGCAATTTTGTTTATTGTCAACATGAGTTTTATGCAACATAAGGGGGAAGGTGGTCATAGAAATACTCAGTGTATGAGTCTAAGGTAAAGAAAGAGGACAGCGGAAGTTATTTTGGACTGTAAATTGTCATGACTGGCTGGGGATTTTGACACTCTTTAGTTTACCTTGTGATCTCCACATAGCTGGAACAAAAGTGGATGGATCAAAATTTGTTGTTTTTTCCAACTGGATAACTTTGTGATTCAGCACACACTACCCAATCCCTACAGGAATGTTCAGTGTAGACGCACGCAAGTTCGATGACCTCATCCCTGCCTGCATGTTGGAAAGGAAAGAGTCACAGGAAGGCAAATGGATAGGATGTGTTGGGGAACTTCTATCCTTGACCTGGCTCTTGCTCGCCTCAGTAGCCTCGGTCTTGCCCTTTCAGGAGAAGCCTCTGTGAGGATTCACACCACACACACACACACAGCAGCTGTTTCCATGAGGTCACTCAGCTGAGCTTCCTCACAACACAGTGCTGTGGCTTTGTGCTCTACCCTGCCATGTGTTCACATTTACCTCAGTACACAGTGTCTAAACAAATTCAGATGTCCTCATTTAGGGGAAGTCTGTTCTTAATGTCCACTGCACTCCAACAGAGGATCCAGTCCTTGGGTACTTAAACTGTACTGTTCATGACTCTCGGCTGCCCTTATATATGGTCAATCCACCCTCTATGTGGGTGTGAGTTGTATGAGTTGGGGATGGAGCCTGAGGATTTAAGAGACTATCTTAGATTCAATACACATTTGACATGGTTGGGTTGTCAGAAGTACTTTCAAAAGGATACCTACCCTCCGTTGGGTTTTACAGGGTAAACCCTACTGAAACATACTTACTTCTACCTTGTGTTTCCCAGATGCGCTTTCTGAACTGTACTGGTGGCCGGAAGGACCCCTCAAGGTCCATCCTGGATGTTGGGGTGGAAGAAGCAATAAAATTCAGTGGATTTGATGAAAAGATGTTCTTGAAGCGTGGGGGGAAGTACGTATGGAGCAAAGCTGACCTGAAATTGGATTGGTGAACTTGAGACTAGGAGACTCTGAGCAGCATCTGGGAGGTCCATGTGCAGCTGTTCTCCACCACCCAAGGTTCCTGGTCTTTCTCCAGTTATGAAAACCTGATTCCCTGTTTCACATCCTCTGGCCGTCTGTGGATTATCTTTGCTGAGAATGAAGACTGTTTGTTTGTTTGTTCCAGTTTGACTTAACTAAGAAAGGGGTAAAAACCACACAATGACAGCTTGTAAAGCAGATAATCTGCCTGCATGCAGAGACAGAGTTTGGTTCACAGAGAAGCAAGGTGCAGAGGTCCTAAAGACCAATGTTTTTCATTTGTATTTGAATTTTTAAGGAATTTTACTGTGAATCCCTCATTTCCTTTTCCCCCCACTTGAGAGCGTGAGTTATTTTCTGCTAAATATGCCAGTTTTGTCGCCAGGAAACATCACAAAACATGTCCTCCAATTACTATTCTAATGCTTCTCTGCTTTGGAACGTTGGACTTTTGACTCGGAAGTATAGGAAGAATCAAGACACATCCAAAGGGCCACAGATGAGACCTCTTAATCATGGGCCAAGAGCTCGTGGAAGGAACTATTCCAGAATCTGATGGTGCTGCATGAAAGATGGCTGTTTCACACTGTGCCAGCTCCTCCAGGATTCCTTACAAAACCGAGATACACTTTGCCTTTTACCACATGGGCATGGGGGTGGCACTTGTGCAGCTGTCCCCTCCTGGTATTGAGGCTGCCCGAGTCTGTCACAATAAAACAAGAGTTTGAGTAGGAGGTCTTTATTTCACTCTGAAAAGCAACAATGGCGTGTGTTGGTGCATTCCATATAAGTCGTGGAAGCATGGGCAGGAAGGACACTGTTGGGAATATGGAGTGTGGCTGGCTTGGTATAAAAATACCTGTGGCCCAAAGAACTCTGAAATGAGGCTCAGTCCAGGTTGATGTAAGAAGAACCTGTTCCTCCTCTACACCAAAAAGGCAGAAGAGACAATGTGACTGAGTCAAAATCCTCTTCTCTTGCAAGTATTTCATGAAGTTTATCAAACCAGGACAGCATCTCACTACCTGTAAAATAATTATTTCCTGTCCCAGAGCAAAAGTCCCTGAAAGTTTTGTTTTGCCCAAGAAATTTAACACTGCTGAAATTCCACTGCTCCCACTAGAGGGCGCTGAGACGTCAGACTTCATTAAGCATCAGAAATTTTGCTTTGGAGTCTATTTTTAGGACTTGGTAAATTTTGGTTCTGTTCCTCCATTGTTTGCTCGTGTGTGTGTGTGTGTGTGGTTGTGGTGGGTGCTCGTGTGTGTGTGTGTGTGTGTGTGTGTGTGTGTGTGTGTGTGTGTGTGTGTGTGTGTGTGTGTGTGTGTCTGTGTGTCTGTGTGTGTGTGTGTGTTTGGATAAGTGCCAAGAGTTTGGTAAGGAACTGGAATTGTGAGTATTTTTCTCACAAAAGATGTTCATACTTCAGTTAGGTCACTATAATTCAACTGAGATATACTTTTGTTTCATCAAAAATAGGTCAGTGTTCTGTATTTTCTATTTTGTTTGTGTGCTTGTTTACCTTTTTTATTATTTTTGCTTGAAGCTAGATATAGCTATGATGTAGCCCAGGCTAGCCTGGAATTCATGATCCACTCTGCCTAACTTCCCCAGTTCTAGGAATAACATTTGTATGTCACCCAACTCCTATACAAATATTTTAAAGAGAAGTTTGAGCCACATTTTTCCCTTCAGATTTTGATTTTTTTTTAGTTAAGTTCTGTGTAGTCAGCTTACCTGGGAAAGGACATGGGCATATGCCCACTTGGTCATGTGACAGGAAAGCAAACTTGGAGCCGAAGCCCACCTTCTGAGTTGGAGTATATTTTCCTCTAGCCTAGGGCATGTGTATGCCTCTTTCCCCTAAGGAAAAGCAACATGAAGAGTGAAAATTTGGGAAATGAACCATCCTAAATGTACCCCACCCTGCTTCTCCTACTCCTAACCCCTTATGCATAGACAGGATATGTTAGACTTCTATGCTTAAAATACTCAAAAATTCCCCCTTTCTTAAAGGAAAGAATTATGATATTTTATCATCATACTAGAAATCAAATTTGGATTAAATCATGCATTGGTTTACTTTCTCAGTTTCAAATCTGGATATTCATTTTGTGAAACTTATGCTTTTTTTCATTTTTTGAGACAGGTTTCTCTGTGTAGCTTTGGAGAAACATACGTTTTTTACTGGGAAAGTGAAGAGTTATTTAGCAGACATTTGCTAAGTGTTACAGACAGGGAGTTTGTGTCAGATGACCGCTTGACTTAGGATGGTAATGCTACGAAAGGGGGTTTATATAAAACTTTGGAGGATAAGGCATCTCACACTGATTGTAAAGCCCCCTGATGTCTCTTTTATATAGTGTTAAGTAGTAAAATCATGGACTGTTTTCTTGTACATTGGAAGCCGAATGGTGTTATTTGCCTAAATTATTTGAAAGAAAAATGGGCTCAGGTTTGATTTGCATTGGATTTTGGGGTCTAATTGTTGCAATGATAAACAACAAAACAATGGAATCCAGCAGCAATAATTCAGCTCATACCTTACCCTCTTGATGAACTTATATTGTTTTATATGCTCTTTTAAAACACAGAACAATAATTAGAGTATCTTCAGATGAGGTTTACTATTGGGGCATATATGTATATATGTTTCCCTGAAGAATTACATTGTGTTTTGAAGCATTGGTCTAATGTATGGTAACATGTTTGGTGTATTAAAATGTTTTGCACATGACCTAAGATTTCGTATTAATCTCTTTGGTGTGATACAGTCACGTGTACTCACTATGCACTTTTGCATAGTGAGCTCACTAGAAGCCAGTTCACATTAAAACTCAACCAAGTTAAGGATACTCTTGACTCAATACAACCCACTCTGCAGCAGGGCTGCATGGAGCTGAGCCCCTGGAGAAAAATGTCTTCCTAACATGCCAAAAATGTTTGGAAGCCGAGAAATCAAAACTTTGATGATCTTAGAAGGACAGCCATGCAGCTGGCCAGGGAAGGTTGTCCCCAAGCCCTTGCTGTGGCCACCAGTACGAAGGGAGCTACTGCTTGATGTGATTTGGTCAGTAGTACAGGCCCAGAGCTAAATCTACTCTTCTGGGCTGTCTTCGAAAAACAAAAAGCAAGCAAACAAACAAAGCAAGCTGAGCAAGCCGTGGGAAGCAAGCCAGTAAGCAGGTCCCCTCCATGGTCTCTGTATCAGCTCCTGCCTCCAGGATCCTGTCCTGCTTGAGTTCCTGTCCTGACTTCCTTCAGTGATGGACTAGGAGACTATGATGATTTCTTCCCTGAGTTGCTTTATTGGTCATGGTGTTTCATCACAGCAACTGAAACCCTAACTAAGACACCATGTCTGTGAGGGTATTTTCTCCATTATTAATTGTTGTGGGCCTTGCTATGTCTAGGCAGATGGTCCTGGGTTTATAAGAAAGCATGAGACAGTGAAACAGCCAGCCAGCCAGCAGCATTCCTCCTTGGTTTCTGCTTTAAACTCTTGTTTGAGTTCCTATTCTCTCAGTGAGGGACTGTGTGACCTGAAAGTGTAAGCCAAATAAACCCTTTCCCCCCAAGTTTCTCTTGGTCATGGTGTTTGTCATAGTGACAGAAAACAAATTAGAGTGCCTGAGTTTGGAGACTTGAACTCGAGTCTCCGAGCTTGTGCATCCAACATACTTACCCACTGGGCCATTTTGCCACCCCAAGTATCCATATGCTTAGGAAACAAAACAATTCAAGTCTTAGAAATTTTAGAACCACAGCAGAATAAAAGATTAAATACAAAATCAGCACCACTGCCACAAAATGCTTTGAACACACAGCAATCCAAAGTAAGTAAGTATAGGACTTTCTACTCTCATAATCCCCCAGATCTTTTCACTGGCAGGTGGCGTCCAAACCCTGTAGATAGATCCTAGTTCTAGCCTGCCTGCCACTGTGACCAGCAACCATGAGAAAATGTGTCTGAGTCCCCCTTAGCCATCTATCTCGATGGAGCAAGGGGAGCTTGCTTCCCCAACTTAACTCAGCTCAGGACTCTGAGGAGCATTGTGAAACAGAGGTTGTCTGGCAAGAGCTCCTCTGGAAAATGTGAGAGGAGACAGAGGGCCTGGATGCATTGCTGAAGATCTCTGAACCTGTGGAAGCCCTCTGACCTCCTCCAAGGCAAGGAATGCTGGGTAGGTTTGCACTCCACCAGCAGGGCCTATTGGAAGTATCTTTGGGTGAGGCAGTTTCTTTTGGCTCCCCGTAATTCCTAGGAGGGGAGTCTCTAGCATCCAACACTCAGCCAGCAACCAGGGCCTGGGGTGCCTTGATTTTGTCTGTGTAGCATGCACACAAGACACTGCAACAGCCATTGCGTTGTAGACGCCTAAATCAATTCTATATAAGGCAGTGCATCCGTTGCCTTATAAAACCTCACCCAAAACCTGGATGGTGGAATACCATATGATGTCTTTCTCTTTTTTTTTATTTTGAACCTGGAGGGTCACATACCATGGGGCAGTGTTTACTGAGAATGCAATTGGGGAATTGAGTTGTCAGAGACATTGACCTGGGGTCCTTTCCTGCTTTCTCTTCCTGGCTGTATTCTACCTGAACCCCTCCCAAATTCTAATGTTTAAGATTGTAGCTTCATGTTTGGGGTTTAAGTTGGGCTAACACAATTTGCTCAGCACTGTGCTTTCTTTCTTCCTAGAGATACAGCATGTACAAATATGCTAGTTTAGACCAGACTGGGCTGCAGGGATTTCTACAGCTTAACCCACAGACTTCTTGGGAATCATCCTTCCAAGGATTACCCAGAGACACATTGGCTTCTTTGGAGCTCCCCTTGACTCAGCATACAGCTAAAAGGCCAACATGATGCAGTCGGATGAGGCTGATGGTTTCAGATGCTCCTCTTTGTCTCATCCAGAAGTGCAGCTCCTATGTATACCTAAGAAAGGAGCTGCTTGCCCTAAAGGCAAGAGAGATGGAACCCAGAGGGTGAGACATTAAATCTCTGCCACAACCAAGTCCACCTACATTGAATGTAATTTAATTATTCTTTCTGAGTTGAGAAAGCCTTTAAATTTGTCAAGCCACAGGGGCCAAATTCTATTGATTACCATGGAAAAGCAGTGTAACACAGAGTGAAAAGATGGCTGAATCAGCCAAGAGTCTTGGGTAGCAACACACTGATACCGCTGGCTGGCAGAGATCTCAGAACCCGCCTAAACCACTTTGTGCCTTAGACTTTGATATGAGCAATGAAAAGCTTGGGCAGAGATTTCTCTCATTTATATTTTGTCTCTAACTAGATTCTACAGCATTTGGTTTTAGGACGTACACATTTAGGAAGCCAGGATTCATATATTTTTCTAAACAGGGTCTCATGTAGTCCAGGCTGGCCTGTCACTCCCTATTTAACCACAGATGATCTTGAGCTCTTAATCCTTCTGGCTGCACCTCCTATGTGCTGCGATTATAGGCGTGTGCCAATACTCTGGTTTATGTAGTTCTGGGCATTCATGCATGTTAGACAAGCACTCTAGCAACTGAATTACATCCCCAGCCTCCACTTTCTTCCTTCGACAAGTATGTATTGAATGTCTGGAACTTTCCCTGTCAGTGCTGAGAATGGCAATGAATAAGATACACCACGCCTCCATTCTGGAAGAAAACCAGAAGTAGAAAGGCCTTGTTTTCATTAACAGCTCAACCTTTTCACTAAGTGTCATATCTT